CTTGCCAGGCAGGCGCTTTTTGCCGCTGAGCTAAATCCCCAGCCCCTCCATCATGTATAAATAACACATTTTCTTTATCCATTCTTATGTTGATGGACATATAAGCTGCTTCCAAGATTTAGCTATTATGAACTGTGCTGCTATAAACATACATACATACATACATCACTGTGGCATGGTTATCTTTAACTCTTTGGGGACCATATCTATTCCTCCATAACAAGGGGAATAGCCAGGGCACATGGAATTTCTATTTTTAGTTTTTTGAGGATCTCCACAATGTTTGCTATAGTGATTTTAGCAGTTTATACTCCACTAACAATGAAGAAGGGTTCCTTTTCCCCAAAGCCTTGCCAGCATTTGTTACTGGTTGATTTCTCAATCTGAGCCATTCTTTCTAGAGTAAGATAGAATCTCAGTGTTGTTTTAATTTGCATTTCTCTAATAGCCAACAATGTTGAACATTTTTTTCATGTGTTTATTAGCCATTTGTACTTCTTTGTGTAACTGCCTATTCATTTCAAATGGCATTTTTTGATAGGGTCTTATTTTAATATGGTCTTTATATTTGGGGGAGGTCTAATTTTTTTGAGTTCTTCATATATTCTTGATGTTAGTCCTTTGTCTGAGGAGTAGCTGGCAAAAATTTTTTCCCATTTTATAAGTTGGTGGTTTTCCCACTCTGTGGCCGTTTTCTTTGCTGTGTAGAAGCTTTTTAACAATGTAATCCCATTTGCTGTTTCTTGGTATTATTTACTGACATTATTTCTTATGCAATGGAGGTTCTGTTCAGGAAGGCTTTACTTTTACCCATGTCTTGAAGTGTTTTACCCCATTATCTTCCAACAGACTGTTTCTGTTCTAATGTTGACATCTTTGACCCATTTTGATTTTAGTTTAGTGCATGGTGAGAGATATGGGTCTAGGTTCAACCTTCAGCATGTGCAAAGCCAGTTTTCCCAGCACCACTTGTTAAAGAAGCTATCTTTCCTCCAGCGAAAGGATTTGGCACCTCTGTGAAAGATAAGGTAACTGAGTATTTTGTTTCTGCATCCTCTACTCTGTTCCACTGATCCACAGATTTGTTTTGTTTTGTTTTGTCTTTTGCCAATACCATGCTGTTTTTAACCACTGTAGCTTTGTAGAGTAACTTGAAGTTTGAGATGTGATGCTCCTTGCCTTGTCCATATTACCCAGAACTGCTTTTGCTATTGAGGGACTCCTCTGGTTCCACATGAATTTTAGGACTGCTTTCTCTAGTTCTGTAAGGAATGCTATTGGTATTTTTATTGGGATTTCATTAATTCTGAAAAGAATGTCTATTAATTATGACTCTAAATATGATTCCAATCCTTCACAGACCTAAAAATGTAAAATATTTAAATTTATAAGTATATACATGTATAAATAAACAAAAGGAGCAAAATATAAAGAAGCAGCCTTAGAGATGTAGAACTTTGCTTTTAGTGGACTAATATAAATTTTCACTTATATTACCCATACATAAACTGACAGTGGAATTACATCATTACAAGTAACAACTGGTTTTGGGTTTTTTGTTTCATATTACTGTTTTTGGGGGGTTTTGGGCCAGGTTCTCGCTATATAGTCCAGGCTGGCTTGAAACTTCCTATGCCACTCAGGCTGGCCTTGAACCTGCAGTGATCCTCCTGCCTCTGCCTATCAAGTGCTGGGATTACAGGCATGGGCCTGGTTCAAGTAACTTAAACGGAAGGCCTACCACATGTAAAGTATCTTCCAGACCACCTTAAGTGTTCTAAATCATCCTAACAATAAATATTAAGCATTTCACTTTCTCTTTTCTTACCCCTAGCCCCTGATCTCTTACCTTCCAGGAGATCTCGGGCTAGCCCTGGCTCTGCTCCTGTGGAACGGACAAAATCCGACAGGACAGCATCCATGTCCAGGGTCATGTGATCATGAAGTACTTTCAGGTAGCTGGATGTGGTAAGACACACATCAAACTTCAGGTCTCCACCTGAGAAACAAATATGTAAGACTCAAATTATACTGGAACAGGACAATTACAGCCCAATTTCAGCAGCTTCTTAACCATCTGGGGAAAATAACTATCTTAGCACATTCATTCCAGTTGACTTTTAAAACAAACCAATTTAAAATGTATAATGAAGCCAGGTGTGGTGATGCTTGCCTATAATCCTAGCACTGGGGAGGCTGAGGCTAGAGGACTGTCACAAGATCGAGGCCAGCCAGGGCTACACAGTGAGTTCAAGGCCAGGCTAAACTAAATATCAAGACCATGTCTCAAAAAAAAGGCAAAATAAAAGTAACATTTAATTTTCTAATTCTTTGTTAACATTAATGCCTGAATAGCTACATTAACCACAAACCACTTTGAATAATGGTTTCTGTCTACTTTTCTAGAGTATTATGTCTCTTCCATGCATTTGCTACCTAAACTGAAGGCAGAAAGCAGCAGACTATCACCCTGAAGAATTCTCTACCTTCGTGTTCTCTAACTTGACATCTTACTTATGTCCTTCCTGGCACCTGATATACTCTGACATTTTTTATCGTTCGCTGTCTAGTCACGTCTTTTTTAAGTTTCTTGAAAGTAGGGAACATGTGTGTCTTGTTCACTAATACATCCCAGCATGTACTACTTGGCACTTGGCACACAAGCCCTCAGTAAATATTTACTGAATGAATGAATGCATATGCTGGAAAATGTTAGGGTTGAATAGTTTCTTTCCGTTCTTTTTCCCCTCTTTTATTGGGTTTTGAGGCAGGGTCTCATACATAGCCCAGGCTCGCCCCAAACTGGCAATCCTTCCTCTCCAACCTCCTGAGGTATGTGCCACCATGCCCCATCTGACTAGGGTTCTCACGCTAGCAAAGGACACAGAATGAGTAAAGTGACTGCTAAATCTACTCAAAGCAATAAGCTATCCTGCTTATCAGAGTGGAGACCCCAAAAGTTCCTAACAAGTTAATCTTTGTTCACTACCTTCATGAAGCCAAGAAACATTGCCACCTCATACATGACTTTTTCCAATGAGGACAACTGATTGCCAAACAAATTCACCTGAAAAAGACATCTTCTTTTAGACGCTAAAGCAGAAATTATGTGCCTAAATTGACAGCTCAGCATCAATCCAACACTCCTCTGCAGTTAACAGTGCCAGCTGAGGAAGAATAACTGAGCAAACAACAATCCCTGATCAAATTCTGTCGGGTTTACGGCTCTCTGTAGATGCTAACTCATTCAGAGTCTCCAGGCACCCACTGCCCTACCACACCCACGAGCCCTCATCTTTAAGGTGACAGCTGACCCAAGTGACTGTTCAAAAGCATTTCCTCCTAAAAGCTTAGTGTCTAAGGATAACCCCTAGATGCTCTTTTCCACATTTCCCCCACCCCAGGACACAACTTGTTTAGTGGTATAATCAGGTTCTGATTTTTTCTGCCTTCCTGAGAAATACTAAGGCAAATAAACAGCAAAGATGTGTGGGTTATAAAAACAGAAAGTCAATAACTTGTTAACACTGGATTTATTTTTTGTTTGTTTCTTGAGTACTAGGGATTAAACCTATGGCTGTCACACTGAGCCACATTTTTTATTTTGAAATAGGCCCTTGCTAAGTCACTAAATTGCCCAGGCTGGGCTCAAACTTGTGGTCCTCCTGCCTCAGCCTCCTATCAGCCTCCCATCCAGTGCTGAGATAATAGGCATACACCACCACACCAAGCTTGAACATGTTTTTGAAAAACAGCAAGACAGAAAGTATTCTGTCTTGTATTGTTCTAGTAGTACAAGAGATCAATGAGTGCAGGGACATGACTTATCATATCTGTAGCCCCAACATTTAGCACTGCAACTACAATACAGTAGACACTCAATAAATGCCTAGTAATAAACGACTAAGTGAACCTCCACACCAGCTGCCACACAGCAAACAGTTTGAGCCTCATCAGATAAGAAATTCTAGGGTATTTTATATCTTCTCTCTGTTTCTAAGGGTCCTGGTCCCGATCCATCCCTTTCAGTTTTAAAGACTTTCCTTCCTAAAGATATGCTGACCATACTGTCACTACTCTCACCATTCTCACACAACTTCTACCTGTGAACCTGTACATAGTAACGAGGTGGCTTTAAGTCAAGTTACCTGCAGGGTTTCAGTTCCTTCTTCCCTAACCTACACCTGGATTAGAAAACACCTAAGGTTCTTTCCAAGTTTAAACAATGACATATTTAGTTCACTACAGGCTCATAAGCTATGGTCATCATACTCACTTTCAATCAAGGTATTATCAACGTCTAATTTCCTTCAATTTCAATATCACTATTACGAGAAAGAGCTAGTAAAATCCTAAGAACTTTCAGTCTAGGATACCTTAAATTGAAAATGTCCAGTTATATATCAGTTCTTTACATTCTCTATTTAAGAATTAAATTCCTTCAGAATTCATAGGTGAATGAATGGGTTTTCTCATCCCTAATGCAGGCAAGAAATTCCTACTCCAAAGCCCATTTTATTCATTGTCTTTGATCACAAAAGATGGTAGCAGCTGAAATAAACACATGAATAATCCACAACCACGAGCATAGCTACAAAATTCCAATCTTCTAACATGCAAAAAAGGTGAAGTAACAATAAAGCCACTTCAACAAATTTCTGAAAGAATGTGAGGAAATATATGATAAGCACACAAACAACAAAGCAAAAAAGGTGCTCCGAAGAAAGAAGACTTGACTAAGCCACAGGCATGTAAACAATTTCCCAGCCAGATGCAGGCTGTGAGTGAGAAGCAAATGAAAACTACAGTGCTATGGCTTCACAGATCTCACATGCCAACATGGCAGGAAGGTCATGCCTTAAAAAAAACACTAAAAAGAAAATAACGCAAGAGGTTTGAAATCATCTAGAAAGATTTGCTCTTCAGCAGAAATTTGAAGGACTAAGCCAAACTTCTTGGCAGCACATTTGTGTATTTCATTTCTCCAGCTGAATACCATGGACTGCACCCTAGCCCCACCTACCAGGTGAGGATAGCAGCTTTTGTTACATCACCACCAACACCTGGCTTAAGTCTCTCATCCAAATGGGGGATATCAAACCAGTGACTAATAGTTTTTGACTCTATCTTAGCACACAGAAAGGAAAATAAAAAGGAAAAATCCAAACAAAACAAAATAAAACACTGGCTTTCAACATTTCAAACAAAACAGAAGAAGCATTCACATATGATATTGATCGAACAGCATATAGACAAATCTCAAATGAAGTCAAAATCCTCCAGTCTTCCAGACAGGGCTTAGCACTGACTTAATCCAATGCTTGCTTGCCTCCATGTAAGAAATATTCCTCTAAGCGTGGTGGCGCACACCTGTAACCTCTGCACTCTAGAGACTGAGGCAGGAGGATCATTGCAAGTTCGAGCCCAGCCTGAGCTACAAAGTGAGTTCAAGGCCAGCCTGAACTGCATACCAAAACCTTGTCTCAAAAAATTTCTTCATATAAATAGTAGTTCTATATCAAGAACACAATGTTATCATGAGGCAGCCAGTGTCTTAGTTTACAAAACCCTCCCATACATCAGTATTTGCTTATATCTGTATTAATTCATCAATGTTTGCGCTAACCCTATAATATAAACTCAACATGCTGAATAAATAAAGTACCTTATTCAAAATTCACCTGTTATCTTTGCTTCTCTCCCTTACTTCCACTTCTATGCTCTCTTGAAGTGCTGACAGCAATCAAGAATAAAACCAAGTTAATAATATTAGTTAAGCACTTTAAAAAAACATTCTTATTCAGCTGGGCGTAGTGGCGCATGCCTGTACTCCCAGCACTCAGGAGGCTGAGGCAGGAGGATCACTGCGAGTTCAAGGCCAGCCTGGGCTACAAACTGAGCTCAAGGCCAGCCTGAGCTGCATAGCGAGACCCTATCTCAAAAAGACCAAAAAAAAAAAAAAAAAAAAAAACCACCATTCTTATTCAATAACGAAACTCCTGCAGCTGGTCTCACTATCCCCAATTTACAAAGAGATAAACAGAAAAGGATTGAAAAGTCAGGTGAGTAGCCCAAAGCCTGAATCCAGAGTCTGAACTCATGATCTTTCTTCTATACCACACAGCTTCCCAGGAGACTAGCGCACCATTGATTCTAGGAATTGCACTGATTCTACTACAGGAAAAGGCTGAGTCTATTTCACTGATCAAAGACTTAAACATCTGCCTTTTACTTTTCTACTTAAAATTCTACCAAGGTCCATCTGCACAGTCCATCTATACAAGCCATACAATGCGTCTGCTTAGTTTCATTACCTCTACAAACACAAAGACCTCAATCTCTATACTGCAGCAACTCCCACTTGGACACTGCCATTTCCTAAAACTATTAAGTATAAATTTTAAACTCCAGCCCAGTGTGGTGACACACACCTGTAATCCCAGCACTTGCAAGGCTGAGGCAGGAGGATCACTGTGAGTTTGAGGCCAACTTGGGCTACACAGTGAGTTAAAGGCTGGCCTAAACTACATAGCAAGACCCTGTTTCAAAAAAATAATTCAACAAAAATTCATGAAGCGCCTACTGTGTCTCAGGCACTGTGCTCAAGATTAAACACAGAATAGTGAACTTGACAGAACCCCACCCCCCACATCCCTACAGAACTTCTTGTATGGCGGGGGGAAAAAAAAAAATCACAAAATTTCCTAAACAATTTAATAAATACTACGGAAGAGAATGTTAACTCCCATAAGGAGTCTGGAAAAACTTCCCCAAGAAAATGATGGTTCATCTAAGAACTGAAGAGAGTCAAGTTGGGATAGGAAGCATAACACAAGCAGATTAAACCCACCTCCAAGTTCAGTTATAGGAAGGAACACACAGGTGAGAACAGTGGACAGTGAGGATGAAGACAAGGCCTTACTGGACCCTGTTAAGGGGTGTGAGAGTTCATCCTAAAGTGAAGGGCTGTAAACCAGGGGCAGGAAATGATTTGATTTGAATTATTAAAAGATAATGTGGATTACCATGTCTCGAATAGTTTAGAAGGGAGTGTAATGAATTTAGAGAAATCTAATTAAAAAATTAAAGCAAGAGTTTGAGCCAGATGAGGATGACAGCTATGAAGACTGAGAAAAATGAATAAATTCTACTTTGTCTCTTCTTGACTAACTGATACGAAACCAATGGCTGATCATCTACTTCCTATAAAAACCTAGTTCCTTTACCTTTCTAGTTTATCTTCCCAACTTGGACTACCCCCACCACCAGCTCCCAGAGTTAACTCTGCTACTAACCAGAGCCAGTGTGCAAAACAAGATTGTGCCAGGTGTGGTGGTGCACTCCTGTAATCCCAGCACTCAGGAGGCTGAGGCAGGAGGATCACTGTGAGCTGGAGGCCAGACTGGGCTACACAGGGAGACGCTGTCTTGGAAAAAAAAAAATTCCACAATCTTGCAGAGTAATACGTACAACTACAAATATATGACCTTCAGTTCTTCTCCTTTCCATCAAAACAAGCTCTTTTGCTTGACTTTGTTACCACCACCGATCTTCTCAGCTACTATTCCACTCCTTCACTGTTCTCATTCAGCCTCCCAGCCAATTGATACCACCTCACTTACTCTTGGCAAATGACCTTGCCTCCTACTTCACAGGAAAAAAAACTACAGAGTAAAAGGAGCTCCTTTAGGTTTCCTCCCGTGCCTCAGAGATGTTGGTTACTATTCTCTGCAGAACTCCTTCAAATAGACTACATTCCCTGATGCCACTTTGTCAACCTACTGAAACAAGCTTCTACAGAAAGAGGAAGATACGGTCTCGGACAAAGAGAAAAGATCATCACAATCCTCAGACTGCTGGCCTCCTTGCAACTCTTAGGCCACCTTTGCAGACTTTTTTTCCTGTGGCTACATGAAAGGTTAGCACACTCACACCAGGCCCAAGCTAGAGCTTCCCATTTCATATCTCCTCACAAGAAGCTTCATTCATGCTGCTGACCAACTAAATGCTAATGAGTCTATCCACAGCCTCAAATTTTTTCTACCTGCAGAGAAACCTGCAAGGGTCTTCAAATTCAACACATAAAAACATGAGTTTATTTTCTCATCTCTATCCTTCACCCTTTCCAACTAGTCCTCTGCCACTACTGCCTGTTCCAGCAAATGGTAACACATCATTTCAGTCATTCAAGCCATAAGCCTAAGAGCCATCCTGTTATTTTTCTCTTGCCTTATGCTCACAAATAATCTCACAAAGTTTCACTAATTTTACCATTAGAAGTCTCTCAAATCCAGTGCTTTCCACAGGCTACATCTCTTTTATTCCATCTAAAGTTTTTATAACCCTGACCTAGAAAGCAGCTTCCTAACTTCTTTCTCCAACCTACTGATCAACCTCTACAAACATCCACTGTGAAGAATTTAAAATGTAAATGTGATAGCATCGTATCTTACTGCTCTAAATTCTTTAGTGACTAAGCCAGGCCTGGTGGCGCACATCTGTAATTCCAGCACTCTGTGGCAGGACATCACCATGAGTTTGAGGACAGCTTGGACTACACAGTGAGTTCAAGGCCAGACTGAACTACATAGTGAGAGCCTGTTTAAAACTATTAAACAGCAATTTCAGATATTTACTGAAATTGTAACATTTGAATTTACCAGTTGTACCAGATGATTACATCTCTTTTTACTACTCATCCTTCACATTCTTAGGCTGCTTTCTACCTCCAGGGCAATGTATACTCAGGAAATGTCTATTTTTTTCCTCTAAGTCAAACTTAGAGGAGGAAAAAAAACCCATTCACATAATTAATGACCTCCAAAACAATTTATGTGTTTACCACATATTACAGTAGGCTATACAACTAGGAAAAATATAAACACATCCACTAGGCAGAAATAGGTATGAGGGGAAACCAGTTTACCTAGATGAATCTGGGAAACTTCTCAAACTTTCAGCTGAGTCTTTAAGAATATGTAGGAGCTCCACCAGGCTGAAGAACAAGAGTATATTTAAGAAAAAATTAAGATCCATGATGCTGGCACCTTTCTTTTATACTTTAAAAATTATAAAACATATGTAAACTCTAAACATATATAACATATTGCCTAAAAATACTTGTAGTTATTTCCAATTTTATTCATGCTAGTCCATGTATGTGGATAAGTGGGAGCCATTTATACTTAAGACAGGCTTGTAAATCACTGATCTGAACCATTTACTGATCTCAGGTTTGCCCCACAAACAAATATATGAGCAAATATTCTTGTACAGCTGTCTGTTCACTAAGTAACTTCTTTTGTTATCATTTTTTTGTTTAAACAATTTTGACAAGTAGTCTCATAGTAAAATTTTTAATTATGTAATTAAATACTTAGAGGGTTTTAGTTCTTTTCTGATAAAAAAAGAAAAACACATATACATAGAGAAGTTAATAAAGCCCAAATGATACCCAGAGAGCAAGGAAGTTAGACCTATGTATTCTGACACTAATCCAGAGTTTTATCTGTTCTCCAGGAATTTATAGCAAAATCAGATCTGTCTAGTCATGAAAACTCCATAAGCTAAAGAATTTTTACTATTTTACATTTAAAAATACTATCCATACTAATCTACACTGTCTCCTAGCTTGTTACCATCCTCCCCACCACCATCGACCCCACACACACACCTATATTTCCAGGTTAGAGTTAAAAAGCACAAACTTCAACCAAGGGTATCCTAAACATTATTTGATCTCTTTCATTTATATAGATTATGCCTTAAATAGCTACTACTTTTTCTTTTAGAAGCTACCAAGTCTCATATTCATAAAGCAAAATTAGTTATGAGCATTCTTATACAATCTGACAATTCTAGTCTACCAGGGAACATACACTATATTTTTATTATTTACATAATTAACGTTTCACATGTGGAACTTCTGTGGGTTGTTTTGTTTTGTTTTGGTTTTTTTTGGTTTTTTTTTTTTTTTTTTTTTTCTCCGGTACCGGGAACCGAACTCATGACCTTGCGCTTGCCAGGCAGGCGCTTTGCCGCTAAGCTAAATCCCCAGCCCCCACATGTGGAACTTCTGTGGAACAAGCTTGTTGGGGAGGTACACAAAGTCAGTGTTTTTCCTGTATAACACTTTAGACTTTTAGAACTACAACATCGGAGGTCATTTCATTCCATGTTCTCAAGTTACGTGAGAAGAACACAAAACCAGGTGAAATTAAGTGACTTGTTCAAAGTCACACAGCTAACTGGGGATAAAAGTAGGTATAGAAAATAAATCTGTTGCCGGGGATATGGCTCAGTGGCACAAGCAGCCTGCCTGGCATTGAGTGGATTATCAGTGAATGCTTGTTAAGATGATTGATTCAGAGGTTAAGTGTTTATCTGGGGAGACTGCAGTGACCTCAGGGCTGCTGTGCTGATGGTGGCCCTTCCTGAAAGGGGGATGAAATGTTGCTTTTGTACAAATACGCTTGAATGAATACGAGTGTGGGGAAAGTTATTGCTCTGATGCTTTCAGTCTTTACACTTTTTGGTGAGAAGAAATATGTTAAAAGTTGGTGCTTTGTTTTTCTTAGTTTTATTTTATGCTTTATCCTGTTCAAAATTTAGCTATTGCTGTGAGTTTTTGAATAGTGTATGAGAAATATGTTGTAGATTCAGACTATCAATAGAAAAGAAAAAGAAAAGTTATCCCTTTGTAATATATAGTTTTGTTCTACCTTCTTGCTATCAAATTTAAGACCTTAAGGCATATAATGTTATCAGATTGTAGCAGCCATGAGCAAAGCAAAATGATTTGATTTTGGCATGCCTTCATGATTTTCTTTATAGATAATTTCTTTTCCTGAACATAGTTTGCTTAAGTGATCAAATTTCCTGAGTACATATCTTTTCATTTGGTACACATCTGTAGAAGTAAAAAAATTAGCTGGGTGGCAGGGGAAAGCAGTTTTTGTGGACAAATAGACAAAGTAGATTATGTGGAAAGTTGAGAGCTAGTGATATATGTGAAGTCAAGTAAAGATTACTGGAATGGATCAACAGATTTATTTTTTCTTTCTTTTCTTTTTTTTTTTTGGTACCCGGAATCGAACTCAGGACCTTGCGCTTGCCAGGCAGGTGCTTGTGCCACTGAGCCATATCCCCGGCAACAGATTTATTTTCTATACCTACTTTTATCCCCAGTTAGCTGTGTGACTTTGAACAAGTCACTTAATTTCACCTGGTTTTGTGTTCTTCTCATGTAACTTGAGAACATGGAATGTTCTCATGTTCTTCTCATGTTCTTCTCATGTGAAGGGGATGATCAGTCAGCAAGTCATCATCCTTGCTTTCTAGAAGTTTATGTAATAATGGACTAGATCCTAAGAAAACCAAGAAACGTATCAGCTAATTTCCTTTATTGCAAAGATTTACTGAGTCACAAACCAGAGACAAGAAAAAAATGAAGAAGAAATTGTAAAAGGTGAGAAGTCTTTTCAAAATTCAGTGAACAATTTGCTCTTTGGATTATTTTTGTTGTTGTTTTGTTTTGTTTTTTGTTTTTGAGACAGGGTCTGGCTGTATAGTTCAGGCTGCCCCTCAACTCACTATGCCGCCCAGGCTGGCCTCGAACTTGGGCAATCCTCCTGCCTCAGCCCCCCAGTGCTGGGATTACAAGCATGAGCCACCACACCCGGCTGCTCTTTGGATTATTAAAATCATGTTCCTCATCAAGAATGCCAATCATCAAAAGCTGACTGTCTTTTGATGACAACACCTAACCAAATATTTTGGTCAAAGTCACTGCTTGCTTAATCTTACTACTTTGCAGGGGTGGCAAGCAAATACCTATCTGGACTAATACATTTTTATTATCACTATATAATATCCACATTACAAGAATGTGGTCAATCTCCCCCAAACTTGGGATGATTTGTTTCCTATGTAAACAGATCCTTCCAACAGAATGTTCTGTGAGCCTCTAAGGTCAAACATATGACAAATCATGTTAAAGTTTCTTGCACCATTCAGACTGAGTTAAAAGTAGTAACCCTTCACAACCGTACAGTATCAGGCCAAGTTTTCAGAATAACAGGTGTCTGCTTCTCCTTTTTCCTTCCACAAAAAGTGTGAAAATACCAATTAGTAAACAATTCATCTGGCAAATATCTCATTGCCCTCTTTCTCCTTAAAATTAATCCAAAAAAATAACCTATCTAAGAATAAGTCCTGTCTCATCATTATTTTCAGTGATGGTGGTAGTAATAGCAACCTCTAGATTTGCAATTCAAAAAATACTTAAAATAATATATTATCTCATTCAAGGACAAAAATGGAGGAGTTAGCCAGGCATGGTGGCTCACACCTGTAATTCCAGCACTTAGGAGGCTGAGGCAGGAGATCACTGCGAGTTCTGAGGCCAGCCTAGGCTACAAAGTGAGCTCAAGGTCAGCCTGAACTGCATAGTGAGACCCTGTCTCCAAAAGGCCAAAAAAAAAAAAAAAAGGAGGAGTTAAAAGGAAATATTACAGGCAACTATCTCAAACATCAAAAATCAAACCCAGATTAACTGGATTAAAAGAAAGTATTTCCAATTCTGCCTAAGAGTCAAGAAGTTTTGGATTTTTGTTTGTTCGTTTGTCTGTTTTTTTAAACAGGACCTCACTACGCAGTCCACAGGATCCTCTGCCTCACCCTCCCAAATGCTGGAATTACAGGCAAGTACCACTGACCTGGCAAAAAGTTATTTTTATAAAAAAAAAATAATAATAAAAGACTGACATTAGCAACTCAAAATCACAAATTTCCCCATAAAGTACTGTACATCCTTAAATGATACACCTGATTCAATCTATAAATGCGAAGACATAATCTCAGTAAGAATTTGATATAAATTTTTGTTACTCTAATCCCTTTCCCAAATGCTTTACTCGGATTTAAATGTTTAGTAAATATTCTTCTAAAGAAGTAATACTTAACAATGAGAAAGCTGTACTGAAAACTGACAACTTTCATCATTCATTCAAGTAACTTTTTAAGGTTTAACAAACACTACATACTTGTCAAATATCACTTTACTTAGAGTTTAGACACACCCATAGAAGTCACCTACCTTATTAATCTCATGAGCCATACCCAGATATTCCTCAGTCCCAATCCTAAAATGACTGGATCCCTAATACTAAACAGTTCTCATACTTGAAATTTTGATCCCACCTAAATAATCTCTAAAACACAACTGGAACTCAATTCTTATTGGAATTGTGCTCCTAGCTCTCAGTCTTAAACATTTGTCAATGCTTTCTACTAGGTAATACTCAAAAGAAATTCTTAGTTGGGTTTAGTGGTACACACCTATAATTCTAGGGAGGCTGAGGCAGGAGGACCTCAAATTTGAGTCCTGCTTGGGCAATTTAGCAAGACTCTGTCTCAAAATAAAAAATTAAAGGGCTGCGGAGGTAGTTCAGTGGTAGAGTGCTCCTGGTTGATCTCTAGTGCTGGGAGGGAAGGAGGGAGAAGAGAAGTGAGGGAAACCTTGTACCTGTTTTTAAACTGCTAACTCCAGAATAAACACTACTCATCCCATATGGTACATAGGGATAATGCTCATAACCTGAAACAATGACTGTCTTTGATAAATAAGCTAAAGAATTAACTTAGAATGGTAACAAACTGATTTCAGGTAAACAGGATATCCTGGATTCTGACATTCTTCCCAATCTCAAAACTCTTTTCTAGAACTCCAAATACAGGAAGCATTTTCTATAAACTACAGAAGGCAAATGTCACCAGTCACAACTGGGGAAAAGAAAAATAACACTCCAACTAGCACGACCACATTACAGTGCTAACAACAGATTACTCACCTTTGTGCTACAAGAAAGGACTTGCAAGTGGACAAGGAACTTTCAGGAAGCCAAGGAAACAAACAAAACTTTCCCAACCCTCAAAACACAAACACATCCAAACGCCAAAGCAGATCACACTGTCCAACTTATACCCAGATATGAG